CCCACCCCCAAGCCAAAAACCCCCGCAAAAAACCCAAACAAAACTCTCATCTATGAGGAAAAAATCGCCTAATACCTGGTTATGTTTTCAGGAGAAGCCTGCTATCTGTAACTCTGATTTACCGGTTTTTCAATCTCAATCTAAATGTCTTCATTGACTTTTGTTTCATGTACGTGCTAGTCAGGTTGTATATTTGTTTAATCGTGCAGGAATCTGATTACTGTTTGTTTTATGTGTTGTTTCAGTAGGTGATAACTTAAATATTTTTAAACAAAGTTTTTTATAGTCAGAATTTTTGACAGCAGTATGTCAGGCACTGGGTAGTGTAATGGCTGCAAGCAAATGTAGTGGCTGCATGGCTTGATCATTAATGTCTTCTTACAGCTTTAGTCATTTAATTGTAGGTACAGGCTAGCAAACCCCTGTTGTCTTATGTGAAGCACAGATGTGAAATGCTCCCTCAGGCTCTTTATGTGTAAATATGTGATGATAAATTCTCTTAGGAGAAAGATGAACCTGAAGAGGTGTGTGCTTTTCCAGTTCAAAAGAACATTTCAAGCATGAATGGATGCGGCTTTTTTGCCTGTTCCTTTTGATGCAAAAAGGTGAAGTCTTAGTGTTTCCATGTTAAGCAACTTAATTTGGAGAGGTAGCTTCTAGAAAGAATAGTGTAGCATCGTAAAACAAAACCAATAATTATATTAAATATCTCTAATATTAGAGAAGCATTTGGGTACCATTCAATTAGCCAATAACACAATATAAAGCATTGTGGTTATAGCAATTACTAACAGTTTCTCGTTCCATTTTACCATGCGTTTCCCATTTCACTGTTCTACTATCACTTTTTAGGGTGAGCATTTTCAAAACTGCCTAAGTGACTTGGGTATTTAAGTCACTTTTCAAAATTGATTCTAAGCACTAAGTAACCTGATTTTCATTTACTTTGAGTCAGACTTACACACGCTTGAAAAGTGCAGTTTTCATTGCTGTAATGTTTAATCTGACTCCCAGTACATCCTGTGCAAAGCCAGCTTATTTTCTTATTTGTCCTTTTCAGTTTGAGGGCACAGGCACAATTTTTATCAGCTACAAAATCTGCAAGTCTATTCTGATAGGTCATGCCAACTCTCATGTTCTCCCTTTTTTGTATTTATGTAGTTGTGCTTTATTTCTTATTAGCTTTATATAAACATGCTATTAAACAAAATCACAAACTGAAGGCATTGATGCCAGTTCAACAGTAAATATTCCTTGCGGGACATTACTAACTACTATTTATTTATTTTCATGCAGGGTTGAAAGATCTACGGATCAAGTAATCAAGCCAGTCAATGTGGAAGCATTGTCGAAATGGGTTGGGAAAATACCCGCAGATGTTCTACAAGATATGCCAGTGATTGCACCTATGTTAGCAAAACTTGGCTACGATCCATATGCCAATCCACCAAACTATGGAAAGCCAGATCAAAAAGTTCTTGAAAACACTAGAAGGGTAAGTTATGCGTGCAAATTGTAATATGCTAAAAACTGCATTTGAACTTAGTGTGGTAGAATTTCTGTCTAAAATAGTGAATAATGTGATGCTTTCTTAACTCGTAAGTTTTTTAGAATTTCTGGGAGACATTCCCAAAGGTACAGTCTTTTCTCATGTGCCTGAAGAAGGGTGCTTGTGCCCAAACATTTGGGTGCTTGTGCCCAAACAAAGCTTGCAATTAAAGATTTTTTTTTTGCAAAAATCTAGTTGGTCTAATAAAAGATATCACCTCTACCACAAGTACTGATTTCTTTTGCCTCCAGACCAATACAGCTACAAACCTGGATACATGACAAAGGTACTTCAGGCAGTTGTCCAGCTACTGGCATTGTAGATAACCAATTGGTTCAGTGGTTGACCAAGATCTTGTCAGCAACATCAGGGAACTTCCAGTTCCATGGCTTGTTTCATGTGTTGGCACTCATCACACTAACTTTTAGATATTGTTTTCAAAGATTTCTTCCCAGCGTTTATGTGACTTCCCATTTCACCCAGTCTAGATCTTGCCGTTCTTCCCCTGCTTTTGCAGAACAATAGCAGAGTCTCCCTATTCCTGAAGAAGGGTACTTGTGCCCGAAAGCTTGCAAAGAACTTTTTTTCCAGCTACTCAGTTGGTCTAATTAAAAGATATCACATCTACCCAAAGAACCTTGCCTTTACAATACTGTGACACCAAGCTGAGATTTGCTGGCTAGAGGAGAAAGAAAGGTGGACTGGCCTCCCACCCTGTTATGTCAGTTCGTTTCCATTGATCCTGTTACAGTTGTTTTTCAAATGCTTTAGGATCCTGCCTTCATCTGGAAAGGATCAATCTGTTCTCTTGCATTCCTTCTCCCAAAAGTGCAGACCATGCACGTGTCCTTGGTCACAGATCTTCTCTGCTGCTTTTAAAGAGTTTTCTTCCCTCTCTCCCATGTTGGTCTGAGCACAGAATGAAGATCTACTTTTTTTGGTTGGCTATTACAAGGGTGATGGACACTAACCTCCCCAAACCAGCTCTCGAATGTTTCTAGTTCTTTCGCTTCCTTTAAAATCAAGAGGTAGAATGACGTCAAGCTAGATTCAGTCAAGCAGGTGCTATTTTTTTTTCTCTGTGGTGCTTCTTGAGAAATCGGATTGCTTTTTCTGTAACTTGCTAGAGTGAAGCAATATTTGAGTCCCAGGCTTAGGTTCAGAAACTTCTTCACAGGCAGTGTTTGGTTCTGGAGTCCTTTGGCCCATCTGTTCAGCAAATCCCTAGAAAATGCTCTAAAGGGTTTCTTGAACTTTAATAGCATTTTCTGTTCTGCCAGCACCGCTGATTTCATTGGGGTTAGGATATTCTTCACTGAAATAAACCAGAAAGACATTTTCTGTAATGGATTCACAAGAGTAAAGCTGAGCACAGGTGGCACTTTTTTTTTAAATGCTCAAGATTTTTTTTTACCTACTTTTAGCATTACCATCACGGCCAGGCTTGCTCTCTATTTGGTAGTGTGCTATTTTTGAGGTACGTATGCATTTTATATGGTAAGAGTTTCGTTATCCATCTGAGATAAACCGCCTTCAGCAGTGTTTTACAGTAGCTAATCGTAAATTAAACTTAGTATTTTCATAATCTAGAAAATGTTCCATAAAGCACAAAAATATGCACAAAACTAATTTTGTTGTTGAGTGTGAATTCACATAAATACTTGTATGTACTCTGACTTCAATTTATTTTGGCCCAAGCATGCATGATAGTAATTCTCTCATCAATATGATTAAGTATACTACATGTCCAAGTTGTATTAGAGTTTGGAATTTAAGGAAACGACAAAAGGAATCAAAACTCGTGGAAGAGGTGCTTTGTTTTATTAGACCAACTAGATATTTGCAAACACTGTTGTATTTATCTGCAAGCTTTCAGGCACACTCACCGTTCATCAGGCATAGGAAAGAGTGGAGATTGTACAAGTTCTCCTAGGTAGAAAGGACATTTATTTTTACACAGTTGGGATGTGGTACTCTTAAATACTTAAGGAGCGGGGAAAAATCTGTGAGGCAGAGATTGATTGTGACATTATTATATGCTGTAAGTGGCTCTTAGCAGTTATTTCAGGATCTGGTTTTTTTTAAGCTTCTACTGAATCATCACACTTTGGCTGAATTTGAGTTTTGAGCTCAGTTTTCTGCTTCTGGGCTGTCAAGGATTGAGTGACACAAACACCTAGTCAAAACACTTGGAGGGTTTGAAAAGCAACTTTTTGGGAAAAGGCGTGGGATGACTGAAATGCCAGACTTTTTTCTTATTCTTTGCTGCCCTTTGAAGAATAAACAAAAGATGCAATAAGAGTCTGATGCAGAGTAACCTAAACACTGGGATTTTAATTGGTCTTATTTTGTTTTTGGAATGTAAGTATTTGGAAAAAAATAAGACTCTTTATCCCCAACAATCCCCACTTAAAATCATTATATTTTGTTTGGAATAACAACAGTTGAATCTGCTTTTGTTCTTATCACAAATGCTTATTTTCTTTGAGGGTGGCTTTCCTGCATCAGTGAATTCTGGTGGTTTTTTTTTTATCTGGTCATCCAATTTTGATTCAGTGCTGTTACTTTGATTACTTCCACTAGCCTTCTGATACTAAAAACCCTGTTTCTGATCCATTCAGCAATATGCACCGGTGGGGGCCTGTACGTCTTAAATGAGTGAGATTTTAGCCATCTTTTGAATAATTTATATCAAATGCACATGTCATACTGTTTCCAGGCTGAGTAAATCATATTCACTTTCAAAAGAGGAGTCAGTGGTTTGATACCTGTATTTCATAGTCACTTGAAGTGTGTATTTGTCATAAGCACAGTGCAAAAGAATGAATTAACTTCCCTGTCACCTACGCAATATACTTAAATTCTGCTTTTCAGTATTTGTCTAGTGAGATTAAAACCCCCTTTTGTCAGCATCATCATGTCCTGAAAACCACTGATTCAGAAGTGACTTTGCCCAATTGGATCATAATATTGCAGCTTGAGCTTGACTCTCGGCTTCAGGAATACATTAGCTATGTCAGCAAAATGCCTTTTCTGAGGTTTTATTCCATGGAATGCCAGTTAGCTTGTAATTGCACAAGTTTAGGCCAATGTCATCAGCTTTGATAATGAATTGCCTTCTGTATTTGAAATAATTACTCTGTTGCATAAATCCATTTAAACCTTAGAGTAGCATTTGTAAGAGAGTGCAGAATGTGTACTCAGCTTATTAAGGTGAGTTTTGTAATTAAAATCCTAAAGGTCAGGTGAGGTGTAGTTAAGTTTACTTCAAAATAAGTGTGTATGTCTCTCGTGATTAAAAATCATGCAAAGGTTCAAGTATGATGTCTACTTCAAATAGTAAATATAGTAACGAAGTATGTATGATGTTTGACATTGTTTATCTGTGGATTCAGTCTGGGTATTCCATTCTTCAATTAAATCATTCCTAAACTGTGTTAATGTATGCTAGTGTAGCTGGCTTGAAAACCAGACTTCTGTTCCATGATACTTTTTGGAATTTCTTTTGTTTGTCCAAACTGGGACAAAAAGCCCAAAAACTCAAAACCAAAACTTTTTCAGAATTCATTTCACAAACCATTGAATCATGGTGTTTCTCCAGTAAGACGCTTCTTCGGATCTGGCAACTGCTGGCTGGAACCGATAAATTATTTTTGCTTTGTTACTGCTCCTGTCCTCTCAGTGTTAATATTGAAACTGGCTTTTGGGGGTTTGGCATCCCCTGCCCCTCACCCGCCTTGCCATGGTGATTTGTCTCGAGACTGGGGGGATCCAAGGCCTCTAGACTTCTGGAGCATTTGACTCCTCGTGCTACTCGATTCTGAGGACAGTTGGCTTGCCAGGTGCTGGGAACCAACTCATCCAGGAGTCTGGAGGCTCTGGGTTTTCTGGCCCACAGGCACTATGCCTGGTTGGGAAGCCAGACTGGTGGCAGGAAACCAAACACATTTTGAAACCTCCTTAGCAGGCTGAGAGCCTTTGGAAGGGTAAGTGGGAGAGATCTGACGCATTTCTGCAAAGTGCTTTTCTTTCAATGAAAGGGTTTTGTTTTTTTAGTTTTTATTTTTTCTTTTTAAGCATAAAAACATTTAATAGGAAAGTTTCCAACCAATTCTGACTGCCAGTTGAGCGTTTTTATTTGGTGAGGTTTCAAAGGTGGAACAGCTGTTAAAAATAGATCTTTAGCTTTTGCTTCAACGTGGTGGGGCCGCTAAGGTTATTCTCTATATCCTTTATCTTGAGCCTGCTCCCATTATTAGTGTGTCTATGTGTAATAAACAGGAAGGCCTCTTGGGTTGGGTTGGGTTTGGTTTGGTTTTGTTTGGGGGTTTTTAAGGCTTTTGAAGCCAAACGTTTTAATAAAAGCTCCATCCCCAAACGCACCACAGTGGATCAGCTGATATTCATTTAACCCTTGTAACCCCTACCAAGTCCCAATTTAATGTCTGAAAACATGTATCTGAGGTCATCCAAGGATTTACTTAAATATTTACTTCCCAAGGGCTTTATAATGTAAAGATGTTGAGGAGTAACTGTTTCTGTAGTCAGTGAGAGTTGTATGTACTCATCAGCTCCCTGATTTGTTCTCAAGAGACTAATTATTGCTGCTTGCAAGTTTTTTAAATTTAGAGGAAGCCTTTAACAGATCTGTTCTTGTTGCTTTATTTTACTGTACAGTGTTAGGAAAAAAAATGAAACTTTTGTATTTATCATTTTAGTTGACCTTACAAATACAGACTATATTAATATTCTGTCCTCTTTGCTGCCCGTCATTTGAAGCTTCCACCCCAGAGGATGTCCATAGGTAGCCTGCTTTCACAGCTTTGCTCTGTCATTATGCACTCAGCTGAGTTATTGTTCCATTTGTCATTTGTGATAATTTATGTTAAATCTGCTTTGCAGAAATTTTTCTTCTGGAAAGAGAACTTTTCTGTAAAAAAAATAAA